CTCTCTCTCTCTCTCTGAAAACTGTCATGGTGCAATTGCTGCGACTTCTTTCTTTCTTTCGTCGCTTCTAAGCGACCACCACTCATTATTGTGCTTTCTTGCTAGCTGGTACGAAATAGAGAGGAAAGAGAAATGTTCACTGTACCGCTCGTTTGAACATGTTTCTCAAAGAGCAATGTCTGTGCTCGGCTTCAGCGGAGAGATGCGAAATTTGTCGTGAAATGACCTGAAATTCGCATAGGCATCGAAAACGAGGCAATCCACATTAGTATCGTCGTTGAACAGAAATGGATATAAACCTTGAGTTCGCCTTCTATTCGGGAGGTGTACTCTCTTAGTATTTTGGCGCTTCTGTCAGTTGTCTCGGGATCGACATTTTGTGATGAGTGCCGCGAGGACGCCCTGGAACTTCACTTTTATGGAATTCAAAGAAGCATATATGCACGAGAATTCAGAAAAAAAAACTATAGAACAGAGCCTCCATACTTGCAAAACAGCGGTGGTGACACCTCTCAAGAAGGCAAGCTCTAAGATTAGCAAAATTGCACGGCTGGAATAGCTAAGTGGATGGATCCTCCGCGTTAACAAGCGACTGATATACAATAATAGCTGAAAGTTTCTCCGAAATGATTTTTTCTTGCATTTTCCCCCAGTTGAACAAGCTGAAGATAGCCACTGGATGCCTTGCATAGTCAAGTTTCAAGGACCCAAGAAGACCAGAAGACGTGAAATAGCCTCTATGATAAATGATTAAAAGAGGATTCCACGGTGCCAGGTCGGACGTTGAAAAAGGGGCCTCAACAGCCTAAAAGAGCACGTCCCAGCGCCGATCGCGCCTAGTTACCTTGCTTAACCCCATGCAAGTCCTTGTTCGAAAAGTTCGGTTGGCCCTCATTCCCAGTCTTCTTCGCTAATTCATCGCTACGCAACCGCAGCATGCGTCACATCAATCGAAATCCTTCTATTTTATAAACCGCTAACTTGGTGTGTCGGTTTGTATGTATGTGTGTCTGTATGTATGTATGTAAGTAAGTACACCGCTAACAAATCTGGTGATTATATAATCGTATTGGAATCCTACACCGAGTACCCTTACGCAACAGTTCAGGCATATATGCACA